TGCAACCATTACCACAATCCAATTGTAACTGAACGAACATCTCATACTACTCTTGCATAACTGGCTGGAATTTATTTTGTAGGAAGGGGCTCCAAAACAGTGACCACGAAAGAAACACGAAGGTCGCTAAGATCTACCACACCTATTCGGCTAGATCAAAGCACTCCTATGTGATGGTGCGCAGTTCTGAACCATAAAGACTCCTTACCCAGTATAAGATTAGTCCCAACACCAGTGGTATTAAAAGGATCTACCAGGGGATCCAAAAAATGTTAAATACTTGTTTGATTTTGTGAAATGATTCGCCTATCAGTTAAAAATTCAAAAATTCTTTTATGGATTTAGAAAATTTTCTTCCTAACTCTGGACTGAAACTGCTTTGTCCCTAGCAGTCCATAACTACCGAATACGCTGGGGAAACTACCTTGTATTTTGCTTTCCTCGCCAAAGTCTCCCAACCTGTTGTGAGATTTCCTTCAAGACCAAAGTAGTAAAGTTTATTTTCTTCTCGGTTTTCCGGCGGAGCAAAGGCCCAGCACGTGTGAACGGAAACAAAACTCAGATTGTGGCGATGCTAAATGCTGTGGGTAGGACCCCTCTCCTCCTCACATCCAGAAACGCCTTGCCCAGCGAAGCTCCACCGGGATTAGTCAGCGCACACTGACCACTTAGATCTACCTTCTGAATAAGGTTCCTGGATCAAGCCTGACCCCTCCCCTCACTGGGTTTACTAGAAGTGGGGTAGTCGGGGCAGCATCAAGCATTTTTAACAGGCACCTAAAAAGATGGTTGCACAAGCTTTGAGACGGATTCCGGCTTAACAGGCAAACACCATTTTTGAGACAAGTGGGATGTGATCTGCTCGATGGTTCCAATGGCATTTTGAGATCGTTTGCGTCGCAGAGCAAACCCAAAGTTTTGGCACAGTACTTACAGTTCACCTGAGGAATAGCTCAACTAATGGAAATTAAGAGCGTGAGAAAACGGGTGCTGTGGAATCAAAACAGCACCTAAACTCAAGGTAGACGGAAACATTCTTTGAATGCCCAGGCTTTGTTTTCTGGTCAGAAGGCAGAACCACCGAATTTCGGAGTTGGAAGACACGTACCTCCGTGTTCTCCAGCCAGTTCTCCGACTTCAGGGCCGCCCCGCCCACCCCGCACTCGGCCCGGTAGTTCCCCGGATTTAAGGCGCGGACCTTCGGGGTGGGCGCCGGGAAGCCCCAAGGAGGCCCTGGCCCGGCCAGCGACGCCGGGGCCAGGAGGGAGGGAAGGAAGCCGCTTACGGGAAGACGACGAAGGGAGGAGGGAGCGAGCTAGGAGGCCGCGGGCCGAGAGCGGGGCGCGGCCCCTAGCAGGCACCCGGCCCGGTTCCCCCACCCCGAAGCTCGCCCCAGCGCACCTTTGGCGAGGGCTACGGTGGAGTTCTCAGTGTCGATGGTGTAAAGGATGCCCTCGTAGCGGATCTCCGCCTTGGAGATGAGGCTGATCTTGCTGCCGATGTAGGGGGTTCCTCCGCTCATGGCGCCGCCGCCGCCGCCGCTCGGGGCCGCTCGCAGAAAGGCAGATCCCACGCCGCCGTCGCCGCTCCGCACGCCCGCTCGCTCTTTCGGCGCCTACAGCAGCCGCCTCAGATTCAACATGGCGGCAGCGCCGACTCCGCTACCCTCCCCCAGCCTCCCGCCTTCAAGCCGCGGCGGCGGCAGCGGCAGCGGCGGCGGCGGCGGCGGCGCGGGGCATGCTGGGCTGGCGTGGCCGTGCTCTCGCGAGACTCGGCCGCGGGCCGGGAGGCCCGGGACTCTTCCGAGGTCTGGGTACAGTTGGTAGCTCGATTTGGCTTGGTTTAGGGAGGCAGTGCTAGTGTCGCCCGAGAGGAACTTCGACGGAAAGGTGACGGGCCTCCTGGCTCCAGGACACCTCGAGCTAGAGTGGAGGCGCGCGGCCCTCCTCCGACCTAGGCCTGGAGTCTGCCATTTCCAGACGCGTCATGCCTTGTCATGAGCTCCCGTGTCTTTGCAAACTTGCGTCCCTCTGCCTGGAAAGTTGCCCACCTGCCTCCAAGCTCCTGGTGAACTACTGGTCATCCTTTAAGACCCGATCCTTTCCCACTGTGGTGATTGCACCCCTGATGAAGCTCTCATGGCCCCATTATAGCGTCTGTCTCCTTATGCAATCGAGTCTTACCACCAGGCTACTCTTAGAGGCTGGCACGGTGTCCCAAGGACTCAATCCTGTCCCTCTGTCCAACACTTTCAGATAGTCTCATCCAGGCTCATGACTTTCAATGCCATTGTGCACTGATCAAGCCCAAATATTTTGTCTGCAGCTTTGATCAGTTCTGTGAACCCCGGATTCATCTAAACAAAAGCCTGCTCAACCTTGCCAGTTGGATGTATATTTGTATATCTAGCATCTCAAACTTTGCATATCCAAAAACAAGCCCGTTGCTCTCGAGTCGATGCCGACTCATGGCGAGCCCATAGGACAGAGTAGAACTGCACCATAGGGTTTCCAAGGTTGTAGTCTTTAAGAAAGGGACTGCCACATCATTTTACCAGAGTTCTAACCGCCACTAGGTTAGCAGACGAAGGCTTTAATGCCAGCAGCACTCTTTCCCAAAAACATACTCCCCCTTCATCCTCTGTTCCCCGTTGAGATAACTGGTACCATTTATTCAACTGCTCAGACCAAAAGCCTTGGAGTCATTCTTCTCTCCATGCTCGCATCTGTTCTGACAGCAAGTCCTCATTTCACCTAGAGAATGTATTCTGAATCTGACCACTTCTCGCTTTCCCTACCCCTACTGATCTACAAGCCACCAGCACTCTGGCTAGGATTATTGCAGTAGCCTCCTAAAAGGTACTTTATTTCTACCTTTCTCCCCTATAGTTTACTGTCAACACAGCAGCCAGAGGGATCTTTTAAAAATCTAAGTCCCTCCTCTGCTCACCACTCCTCTCCCCCAGATCCCCATGTTACCCAGAGTGAAAGCCAGACTCCTTTCTATGGCTTACAAAAAATACATGATTTAGTCCCTTGTTACCTCCCTCTACCATTCTGCTCCAGCCACACTGGCCCCCTGTTTGGAATCCTCTTTGCCCAGAATTTTGTACTTCAGTCAGGTCTCTGCTTCCCTGTTTAAAACAGTACCGCCCCGCATCACTCTACGTACCCTTAGCCTGCTTGTTCTTCTAAAAAGCGTTTCTCTTTCCCTGATACCTATTTAATTATTTGTGTGCGTCAGTCTCCTTCACTACAATATAGAGTTCTTGAGGCAGAGACTTTGTTTTGGCCCCTGCTATATCCTCGGGGCCTAATACAGAGCCCAGCACAGGGGGGCTGCTCAGTAAATATTTGCTGCATGAGTGAGCAGTTGGCTAAAGGCAGAGCACAGGCAGGACGTCAGATAAGATGAGTGAATAAAGGGTGAAAAGTCCTCTCTACCTGGCATCACTGAGAGGGAGAAACGGGAGAGAAGACTAGAAGGCTGTGTTGGGGCTGATGCACAGCTGCTTTAAAGGAAGCCTATGAAATACCCAGTTCAGTAGAAGGTCTCTGCCAGGTTGTTGAATTCTTATTCCTGTTCTTTCCTCCCCATACCAGGCCTGAAACCCCCGCTTACCCTCTCATGCTTCCTGAGAGAATTTATCCTTTCCCATCTATAAGCTGATGATTCCCAAATTTACATCTCTATTCCAGATCTCTTGACTTCCAGGATCATACTAACTACCTACTAGATGCAGTTGCTTGGGTGTCCCACAACCCTCCCAAGTCAACATAGCCAAAATAATGTACATCTACTTGCTCGCTCTAATTGATGTTCTGCGTTCCCATCACTGGCCCCAGGCCTCAGCCAGGTATCTAATCCTGAAAGCAGGAGTCCTTACCTAGCTACACCTAATCAGTCACCGAATCTTATTGATTCTACTTTACAAATATTTTGCAATTCATGTTTTCCTGCACCCTAGTGCAGCAGGAACTACACACAAACGCAGCTGATCAGTATGGTAGCCCGTGGTGTGTTATGGATGTGAACCTTCAACTTATGCGTTAGAAGAAAGATGGAGAACTGTGGCCCACTTCACTATCATAGCAGTCTTCCTAAAGCCCAACTCTCATGTTTCTTCCCTGCTTAAGAGCCTTTGATGGCCCCCAATTACCTACAGAAAAAATTATAACCCCCTCAGCAGTAGAAGTTCTAGAATTTCTGCATTGGAGGAGCTGAGGGTTGGTAATCTGAGTGGAAGGGGTCATCTAGGAGGATTATTTCTAGTTAGTACACTGTTTTCTTTGCTTGGTGAGACTAGGGGGAAGCTGAGGTTGAATATGGGGAAACAAGGCCCCTGCTTCTCACCACCCTTTGGTGTGGTTCGTTACTTTTCATTGTAACTCCTAACATACTCTGCACACCTTAGGCCGTGGTCGCACTGAATTGATTACTTCCCAGAACACATGTCTCACTCTCCCTCCTCATTCATTCATCTCTTGTTTGACGTGAATGGCTCCATACCCCATCTCCCCTCGACAGGCAAGATTTAAAGCCTCCCTTACACCATAGACAAAAATTAAAAATTAACAACTCAAAATGGATCAAATACCTAAATGTAAGAGCGAAAGCTATAAAACGCTTAGAAAAAAACTATTAGTCAGGGCTCTCCAGAGAAACAGAACCAAAAGCGTATATACATTCCATTTTAGTATATCTCACTATATTATGGATCTCTCTCTCTCTTGATTGACTTTAAGAAATTGGTTCACGCGTTTGTGGGAGCAGACAAGTCCGAAATCTGTAGGGGAGGCAGCAGGCTGGAAACTCCGGCAGGATTTCCATACTACAGTCTTGAGGCAGACTTCCTTCTTCTCTGGGAAACCTCAGGGTTTTGCTCTTAGGGCCTTCAACTGGTTGGATGAGACCCACCCACATTATCCAGGGTAATCTCTTTAAAGTCCACTGATTATAAATGTTAATCACATCTACAAAATGCTTTCACAGCAACATCTAGACTAGTGTTTGACCAAACAATTGGGCACCATGACCTAATGAAGTTGACACATAAAATTAGCCATTGCAAAAATACAAGAGTTAATTTCAAGACCTTGGACTTGGCAATGGTTTCTTAGATATGATATCTAAAGCACAAGCAACAAAAGAAAAAATAAATAAATTGAACTTCATCAAAATTAAAAACTTTTGTGCTTCAAAGGATACTATCGAGAAAGTGAAAAAATAACCCCCAAGATGGTAGATGATATTTGCAAGTCATACATCTGATAAGGTACTTGTATCCAGAATATATAAAGAACTCTTACGCTCAACAATAAAAGCCCAATTAAAAATGGGCAAAGGATTTGAATAGAAACTTCTCCAGAGGAGATATACAAATGGCTAATAAGCAAATGAAAGATGTTCAACATCGTTAATCATTAGGGAAATGCAAACCAAAACTACAATTAAATACCACTCTCCACCCATGTAGGATGGCTGTAATGAAAAAGAGGAACTTTTACATGTTGGTGAGACTGTGGAAAAAATGGGACTCTCATCCATGGCTGGTAGGAATGTAGAATGGTGCAGTTGCTTCAGTAAAACAGTTTGACAGTTCCTCAAAAAGTTAAACATAGGGTCACCATATGATCCAACTATTCCACTCCCAGGTGTATACCCAAGAGAATTGATAACATATTTCCACACAGAAACTTGTATTTGAATGTTCCTATCAGCATTATTCATAATAGCCCAAAAGTGGAAACAACCCAAATTTCCATCAACTGATGAATGGATAAACAAAATGTGGTACATTTATACAGTAGAATATTATTCAGCCATAATAAGGAAGTTCTGATACCTGCTACAACATGGATGAACTTTAAAAACAGGCTAAGTGAAAGAAGCAAGCCACAAAAAGCCATATATTGTATGATTCCATTGATATGAAATGTCCAGGACAGGCAAATTTATAGATACAGAAATAGATGAGTAGTTGCTTCTAAATGCTATTTTATCAATGTATTAGATATAGGGCTTTACGGGATTTTTTTATTTCTCTCTGTATTATTTAGGGAATGTGTTCTGGTTATCCATTACCATGTAACAAACCACCCCAAAATCCAGGGATTTAAAACAACTAGTATTTTATTGTTTCTCACAGTTTTGTGGATCAGAAAATTGAGCAAAGTTTTCCTGAGCTATTCTTCTGCCCCATATAGCATCAACTGGGGTCATCTGGCAGCTTGGTTAGTCTAAAGAACCAGAAGTAACTTCACTCACATATCCGCTTGGCAGGAATGGCTGGCTACAAGGTTGGGATGTTTATGACACTGAAGTCACCTTACCAGCTTGGATTGTGTCTTAGTTATCTAGTGCTGCTATAACAGAAATACCACACGTGGATGCCTTTAACAAACAGAAATCTATTCTCTCACAGTTTAGGAGGCTAGAAGTCAGAATTAAGGGTACTAGCTCAGAGGAAGGCTTTCTTTGCCGACTCTGGAGGACGGTCCTTGTCAACAATCTTCCCTGGTCTAGGAGCTTCTCAGCACAGGGACCCCAGGTCCAAAGGACGAGCTCTGCTCCTGGCTTTTCTTGCTTGGTGGTAATGAGGTCCCCCTCCTCTCTACACAATTCTCTCTTTTATATCTCAAAAGAGACTGACTCAAGGTGCAACCTAATCCTATAGATTGAGTCCTGCC